ATCTATTATGATAAATCATACTTCATTCTCAAGGTCCCAGTACTTTGTTCATATTCTTAACATTAATATTTATCTTACTGTATTCATGTTGATTATTTGCCTACTACTTCTTGTAAGAAGACAAGGGCACATTTCTGGCAAGGATACTAGTTATCTTTATATCCTTCCTCCTTGTGATCTAGCTACTGCTCAGCATATAGTAGAAGCTCTAAAATGTCTGAATAAATTCAGGCCAGAGCTCCTGAGTTGCTTAGAGGAATAGAGTACTCCCCTTCCCTACTTATATTCAGAGCTATAGTTAGATAATCACTAAGGAGATGCTCAGGAGGATTACAATTGTAGGTGATTAAGCTAGGTTGCCTTTTAAAACCCCTCTGACCCAAACTTCTAAGATTCCAAAAGTCCTATGAAGAATATATATATTGTCCTAAGAAGGTAGCCTTTTCTGTTTCTTATTTCACTCTCTAAAAAAATCATTTCAAAAATTATTGGATAAGGACAAATATCATTTTTGTCATTTGTTCCATCTGTGACAATTACGACTAAGAACTAGCATCTAGAGTCTGAGAGTGATACATTGTTCTTGAAAATAAAACTGAAAACTAATAGTCAGAAAATAAATATATCTTGTTAAACATAGATTAAAATCTCTTTAAGAAAGGAGAAAAATCGATGAGAGCCAGGGTGATTATCCAGGTATTGCAGAACATACAGAATGAACTGTTAGAAGCACTTCTTATGCTAAGATGAAAACACAAAAGACAAATGGACAAAATAAACAGACTATCACTAAGACAGAAAGCACTGTGATTAAAACTCACATCCATATTGAGGAAAAGTGGGTAATACTATTTGTTCAACAAAGTGAAGCCAGATAATTGACAGTGTGGATTAGGTCTTGAAACACTTGTAATTTGAGAACACTGAAGAACTTGAGTGGAAAGGTGAAAAAGAAGTGCTTAAAGTAAATCAATCAAGCTTGGGAGAATGCTGCATGCAGGATGGATGTGAAGAGAGTTATTGTTGTAAATCACAGCCACTAGAAATAGTCACGGAAGCTTCAGGAGTCGAGAGTGCCCTGGAAATGGGGGCTTGAACACGGTAACTGAGGAAGCAGAAAATGAGTCAGTCCAGCTCAAAGGACCTGAAAAGGGAATACAAAAGGCCTGAGGATGTAAGTAGGTTGTAGATGTATATGCGTAGCATACATGAAGCCTGGTGTTTATTGTCTAGCACATCAAAAAATTAGTAAGGAAGTATAGAAGATGAAAGAAAAGGACATGATGGAGATGTAGCTCATTTGGCAGTGTTCACCTAGCATGCACAAAGCCCTGGTAATGCATAAAAACAAAATAGGGTGTGGTGGCGCAAGCCTGTAATCCTAGTACTCAGGAAGCAGAGACAAGAGGATCGAAAGGTCAAGATCATCCTCGGCTACAAGGTGACTTCAAATTCAGCCTGGACTATGTAAGAACCTGTCTCAGAAATAAACAAATCAAATAAAAACAGAGAAAAAGGATGTATCAAAAATGATGGAAAAGACGGATTCCAAGAAAAGAGTCACGGAACTGAGGAACCTGCATTATATAAGTGGAAAATATCCATAAAAAGATAAATTATGGCATATGAGTTTAGAGAAAGAGAAAGATTCCACTTAAATACTTGAGAACTTTCTATACATAAGGGAACACTGGAGTATAGAACAAGAAGCACAGCAGAGCCTCAAGGTGATTTTAAAAGAAAATGGAAAACATATGATCAATGGATGATAAAACTTCAGTATTCAATAGTATCACAGAAAACACGGAAGTTCTTTCAAAAGGGATGGGTTATAGATTATGAATTATAAGCAGGGCTGTTTCCCTTTACAAGCACTAACACAGGATAAAAGCATTAATTAGATGGGTGGACAGAAAATAGGGTATTATGGTTGTTGGAAATGTTCTGTCTTATGTTTCTAATGACAAAATGGAAATACTATTCTTTGTACAAAGATAAGCTTTCTACACATGAATCAATTATTAGTAATACCATTTAAAATATGTCCTCTTCTAGAAGCTATACATTAGCCTAACATGGCAAATGTTAATTATTGGTCATAGATTATAGTTGCATAGGTAGCATGATTAGAGTATATAAATCCTAACAAGGAAGTTTTAAGGAATATTCCAAAGTGTTTAAAACTGGCACAGAGCTGTTCAACTTTGTGAAACCCAGATCCATGCTTTGAAGTATATCTTAACTTCCTTCCAGATTGCCACTGTCCTTTAACCCTTGATCTTAAAATCTATATTAATAATATTACTGTAAAAAAATCTTCCAACTCAGCTTCAATAAATACGTAAATTTGATACAGGAGCTGGGAGGAGTGGCCTTACCTTAATTCTAGCTCTCGCGAGATAGAAACAATAGGATCAGGAGATCATAGTAGCCTCTACTACAGACAAATGTGAAATGTGAGGCCAGCCTAGACTATAGAGGACCTGTGTCAAACAAACAAACTAGGACTGCATTGTGGGATTCACATCATCGGATATGGCAAGCCTAAATAAAGAGACGTGGAGCTCACAAGAATGTTCATGTTCGTGAAACATTCAGCCTGTATCTAATACCCGAGTCAGATAAGCATCCACATCCAGATTAGTAATAAATCATTTTGGATGACAACACACAGAAAGGAATATTTAGTCAGTTTGGCTCCTAAAATCTCTCAGATGTGACTGGGAGAAATGACACTTTTTTTCCAATATTGCTGGTGAACTGAAAGTTGGTGTCTGAAATAAGTAAGCACATTGAGCAAACGAAAAATGTCTCTTTGACCCTCCCAAAGAAATGAACTAGTTAATAATTCCCAAGAATAGGGTCAACTTTTCGTGGGGTTTCATGTAATTTAAGAAATAAGAAATCAATATACCTGGCATGGTAGCATACAAGTGTAATCCCAGCACTTAGAGGGGGAAGCAGGATTAGAAGCTCAAAGCCATTCTAGATACACAGGGATTTCAAGTCCAGCCTATGGCACACGAGACCCTGTCTTAATACTTTACCACCACGAAACAAAAGAAGAAAGCAAAATTGTAACACGACTCAGTATGAAGCTGGTAATTCATTTAGAATGAGATCAGAAAGGATCCCAGTGTAAGGTTCATCAGCTACTTTCAAAATACATATCTGTTGATGACTAAATATTAGAAGTCAAGTGTGAAAAAGGAGAAAGACCAAGCAATTAGACAAAAGAAAAACAAAAGACAGGGCTCAGGATATAGCTCACTTGATAGAGTGCTTTCCTACCAGGCATAAAGCCCTGGGGTAAATCCCCAATACTACATAAAGCAGACATGTTATCCCACATCTGCAATCTGAGCACTTGGCAGTCATATGTTAGAAAATCAGAAGTCCAAGTTCATACATGGCTACATATCAAATTGGATGCCATCATGAGATACATGAGACACTGTCTCATAAAAAATTTAAGAAGTCAGGCTGGAGAGATAGTTCAGCTGCTGACGGCTACACTCAAAATCAAACATCAAAAAAATTTAAAAAGACAATGCTTTCTTTAAGGACCATTGGAGATAAACCAAGAAAAAAAGAAGAATAAAATCCCAGCAAAACAGCAAATTGTGGTATGGTGTTAACCAATTTATATTACATATTATCATATTTATATTCCAGTGATAAACAACCACATTGCCTCTATGGTACTTGCTCAGAAGGACCAGGTTTTTGGTAACGCCAATCCACTAACCTGTAGGCACTCAACAAGTGTTTCTTGAAAGAAGAAACGAAAGAAGGAAAGAATTATATGTCCTCCTTTTTCTAACTCTTCACCAGGATCTGCTCCCTCTGATGCTTCAGTACAAATGCTTCCACTGGCTAGGACTACCAAAGAAGCAGTTCATACCAAGCTGGTGATTAAGATTGTTTTCCCAGAACAGGGTGAGTCCAAAGCTACCTGCATCTAAAATTAATATATAAGCACATCCCTGGTCAACTCAAAGGGGGCATACATTAAAATTGGATAATTTGGAGTCACCCTATTTACTCCCTCTCCAGTCTATCTCCCTCTTTCTAAGTACAGATGAGGGAAAGGGGACATTTCAGTTTGGGCTTCTACATAGAGCCAAATCATAATCCCTAAAATTTTCCAAAATGACAATATAAGTGGCAATTTAATATACAAATATTGAAGCGGTCTCCAGGAAAATAGAGAAAATGTTCATGTACTCCTTACTTGATAAGCCATCTAAGCCAGGACAAGGTGCAGGGCACTCCCTAACCCACCCTCAGCTCTTGCTTTATGAAGAGATTCCCTTTGGACAACAAATACCCCCCAGTTTTACTGAAGTTCTAAAAAAAAAAAATACCAGAAGTAGGAAGAAACAAAGGAGTAGGTAGCTCCTTTTTAAAAAAATTATCTATTCCTAAAGGATTCTGTCTCATTTTTTACCTACTCAAATCTTCTAAGCAATGGTGTTTTGGAGAAGAGCAGAACTGAACTAATTCTACTATGACCGACTTCAACAGTCTCTGATATTCTATTCAGAGAAAAGGATGTGAAATGAGGGAGGCCAAGCAACCACCTCAAGAATTGCAAGAGATAGTCTTACATGGAAGAAAAGAGGTCTGCAGCTTCCCAGGGAGGAGATTAGACCTCAGCAGGGTTACTGAAACTCTCAAACCACAGATTCTTGGTTTTGTAAAATAGTAAATGTGTTGTCCACTCACAAGACTGTTGAGAGCAAACTCATGTAACGTGCACAGCAAGAACTAATTAATCATTAATATTTAGTAGTAACAGTCAAATTATTTTGCCTCCCTCCACTAGTGCATACCACCAGGAAAAGGACCAACTCCCGCTCCCATCTGGCAGGATCTGGGGCCCTGCCATTAGAAACACTCTCACAAGCAGGAGAAAGATCCTGCCAAACACAACAAGAACATTGCAAGTACCTGGTCAGCCAGGTCCCCTTAAGCTACTGTTAAAGACACAAACTGACCTGAGATGCCGCCTCCAATCACGACTACGTCGAACATGTGGCCTGCGATATTCGACTTCTCCAGACTCGTCATGGTTTGGGTGAGATTCTCCGAAGACTCGCGTTTAAAAGAGGGGACCGCCCAGAGTGGAACAGACCCTTGTACAGCCCCTAGCCTAGTGTCCGGGGGCGGAGCCGATCTTTCTACCCATACCCAGGGGGAGCCCGGCCCTGAGGGCGGAGCAGGCCCTTGTGCAAGGACAAGGGGAGCGCTCAGGGGCGGGGCTGATCCTAGTTGAGAAACCCAGGGAGAGCCCCACACAATGGGCACGGATGGCCCTAGAAAAGGCACTGGAGGAGGAGGTCCCTGCATCGAGCCTAGGGGGTTATACAGTGGGGGAGGTGGGGACCTAAGTAGTGAGCTTTGTACTGGCAGCTGGGAAGGGAAACTGGGTGCAGAAGGTGATGGTGTGGATAACCAAGAAGAAACGGACAAAAAGTGCATGGAGGAGTCTTCTGCCGACACCAGTGGGATATTTTCTGGAGTGTCGGGTAGTTGGATGGAAGTCAGGGACGTGTTACTTTCTTCGGGAAGTTCTAGTGGTAATCCCCAGTTGTAGCTAGACAATGAGGGTGGAGTGGGCTCCTCTACCGACCCTCGGAGAGTGCTGAACACTGAGACATGGGTAGACCCAAGTTCTGACTCTAGAGAAGTGCTAGGTCTAGAAAGCACCGAAGACACTTGCCCAAAAGTCACCGAGGACCTTTGCCCAAAAGAAAGTGATGAATCCGGGAGTGGGAAGGATTCTAGTACAGATAGGTGCTGGGAGACCGAGCTAAGGTGGGACGAGTCCGAAGCAGGTATGGGGACCTGGTCGCTCTGCCCAGGGACGTTTAAGTCCTTGGAACAAGACTTTGAGTTGGGATCATTCCTTTGGCCAGGATAATCACTGAGCTCAGAGAGGTTGATGGAACTAAAGGAACCAAACAGCTCCTCAGTGGACCAGCTCGTGTGAGCGGAGGAAAAGGGTTGGGAGGCGGTCTGCGACTGAGAATGGGAGGACTCGTGTGAGCTGCTAGAGGTGCTGCCTTGGTGGGACATCTCCACTGGGGTCAGGGAAGGGGGAGTCCGAGTTCCGAGGGCCCATTCCCCCTCAAGCCCCCTGCCGCCGCGGCCACGCCTGCCGCCGCCTGGGGAGGCCTTCTTTTCGGCCATAATTCCCTCAGCGGCGGGACTCAGCGAAAGGCAAGCCTGAATGAACCCTCCCCTCAACAGCGCTCAGCTTTCAGGGCCCAAGCCATTACCAGACTGACGCCCGACCCAAGCGCCCGGCCCACTCGGAGGCTGGGAAAGGAGACATTGGCGCGGGGCGGCTCCGCCTTTCCCGCCAAAGTGCGCGACTGGGGCACCGCCCTCAGGGACTGGACGATACCACCGCGAACAGAGGGGGGGCGCCTGTGAGCGGAATCTGCGAGCGCAGCAGTGCGGATTAGTAACTTTCCAGTTTCATAGTATCTTTTAACCTGAAGAGTTCTGAGCCGAGGTGGGCCCAAGAAAGAAAATATGTAAAGGAGAAAAAGCCGAAGGACGAAGTGGCGGAACTCGGCTTAGTTCAGTTTGGTCTAGCCCTCCGGTGACGTCATGGGCGGGGCTTTCCGCACAGCGCGCCTCTGTCTTGTATGGGCTAGGGGGAGGGGCGGAAGGGTGGGGGATGAAATTCCTGTCCTGCGGAGGGTTCTTAGTTTTTTGTGGTATATTTTCAAGGGAACCGACCAGAGTCTAAACAAGTATGCGAGAAAAATAACTCCGATATCACACATTAAGTGGCACTACAGTTTAAAATTGAAACTAAAGGAAGCCTAAGGTGTAATAAAAAAAAAGAAAGGAAGGGTTGTGGAGCAGTATAGAATTTAGTGGCACACACTTGTAATCAAGCATTCCTCAGGCCAGGACTTAAGGATTGCTGGCCTACTCTGTCACGTAAGCTCCATGCCCTAGAGGGGTGGGGGTGGGGATGGCTAGGGAGTGAGGAGAGTGGTAGGGAGACAAAGGAGAGTTTAGTCTAACAGTATTCTTCCACAAACACATGGTTATTTATTTTATTTTGTTAAAAAATAATTTTTATTTGTTAACAAAATTTCATACTTGCGTATAATGTAACTTGATCATATCCACCCCTCTCACAACCCGAGATACCACTTCTATTTATTTTACTTAAAGTTTCTTCCTTTTGAACATGGAGTGTCATAGTGACACTGTATTGATCAAACAGGCCTCAAACTCCTGAGTTCAAGTGATCCTCCTCACCTTGGCCTCCCTATGAATTGGGGCTATGTGTAAACATTAGCGTGCAAAGCTTCTGGAATTGTTTATAAGCCCATTCATGGAAGTTTAGTTTTCTGAGTTACCAGTCTACACAATGACACACTAAATTACAATTTTATTGGATTTATTTATTTTGTGTGTGGGTACACCTGTACCTTGGTCTTCTTGTGGAGATCACAGGAAACTCTCTGGAGTCTGTTCTACCATATGTAGGTCCAGGATTCTAATTTAGGTCATCAAGTTTGGCAACAAGTGCCTTTATGCACTCAACCATCTCACTAGCCCCCAAACAACAAATTTTAAAAATGAAGGGCTCTGACTAATTGCAATAATTTCCAGGATATTATCCACTTATAAAATCAAGCTGTGAATATAAACAGCATACTTTTATACTTGTGCATTTATATCCTCATGTAAAAAAAATATTTACTTCTCGAGAACTATGAGGATAAATTATAGATAAATGGGTGAGGATGTGATACAAAAGATAGCAATGAAATTGTTCTTTGGATTTTTAAAAAATAGTTCAGCTCTTATTAAGACATCTTCATGGATTTTATGAAAACCTCCAGTTCTTAGGTATACCTGTTTTAGTTGTAAATCAGCTGAAAGAGATATACAGCAAACACTAGCACTTGCCATCAGGCAGTTAGTGTTTGCCTTCAAATCACACAACAGTCCAAATAACTGGATTCCAACTGTTCTGTCTAGTATTCAAGGTGATAATTTAGGTCTAAGGGAACAGGATTCACACGAGACAAGTGGGAGACCTAGCCTAGGTTTGCAACCTTATACCTCAGAGAAGCAAGTATGTTTTATTAAAATAATCCTTAGTTTCCAAGGCCTCTCACATGAGATACAAGATTAGCAGTCATCACACTAGAAGAAACCAGGGGTTATGCTTGCTTCAATAATTTACAGCTTTTTTAGAGTGTCTATCAGTCCAGCTACTACTTACCAATCAGAAGGCAGGCACATTTGTTGTAAGTAAAGTCACCAAATAAAATTGAAACAATTTGAGTATTAAAGAGAATTGTAATGGGGTCAGAGAGACAACTCTCAGTGGAAGAAAGAACGTAGTGCTAAGCTTGGCAACCTGAGTTCAATCCCCAGGACACAAATGGTAGGAGGAAAGAATGAACTTCTACAAACTGCCCTCTGACCTTTGTTGTGCCCAGATTATGACCCCCAGAGAGAGACCACAAGAGAGGCCCAGACTGTAATAAGCAAGGTTTGATCAGCATAATACAAACATGTTTGGAACTCATCTCTATCCCCATTACAACAAGGTAGAGAGGAGTTGTATCTCCTCTGTGGGGTAAGCTTTTAAAGGCATACCTACAAAGTGAATCTTTGAAGATGCTTTGCCACGGTACAAGGACCCTTGCTCCCTCCCATTCTGATAAGTCAGCTTTCTCCTTGTTCCTAGAGCAAGGCCACTGGTCTTGAGTTAGGCCATCTTTATCAGCCTGTACCAGGTGGCTGGCTGGGCTGAGCTTAGTGACCTTGTACTTGGAACGTCTTGGGTGGTAAAGGGAAAGGCCACTCTATTCCTGGGAAAACATTCTGCTAGGAAATTTCTTCCTGACCCCCTGAGAATAAGGAGTGAAGGTCCCACAACCTTCACATGTGCACTGTGGTATAGGTGTGCCCCACCACACACAAATAAGCAAATGTAATTTTAAAAACTTGTAAAGTTTGCTATAGTGGCACATACCTCTAATCCCTGCACTCAGGAACATTGTGATCTTGAGATTAACCCAAGCTATATAATGAGTTCTAGTCCACCATGGGCTAGAGTGTGAGACCGCATCTTATAACAAAAACAAAAATGATGATAATTCTTAGTAAAAACAAGTTCCAAAGCCCATTGGATTTTACCAATGTGTTTCTGCTCTTTATCCCTGTTACAAATACAGAGAAAAGGATTAAAAATGGGAATCCCCAGCCAATGAGATGGCTCAGCAGGTAAAAGTTCTTGGTTCACACGCCCAAAAACCTGAATTCAATCCCTGGAGTCCATGGTGAAAGGTGAAAAACTCACCCTGAAAATTGTCCTCTGATCTCCTTAAATGTGGTTTGGCATGCAGTCTCCAGTGCACGTGCACACACACGCGCAACAGGCACGCACACACACACACACACACACACACACACAAATAATGAAAATGGGAAGCTCTTCTTTACAAAATCTGTCCAATAGTCGATATAGAAATAAATGAGTGTTTCTTTATGGAAACATGGTCTCGTTGTGCAGCCCCCTGGCTGGGCTAGAATTTACTGTATAGATTAGGTTGATGTCAAATTTGAGATGATCCTCACAATTGTTGGTGTAACTAATAAATCTACCTCTATGTGGAGATGCCTTTGATTTCCCCATGTCCAAGTCTCGTTCTATAAGAGACCTGGCTGGAGGACAACCATCAGGAAAGTGGATTCACCTGAAGAAAATGTACTTTTCCTTCCCCAAATCCCTGACCCCTAAAATGCAGTCCTTGTGAAGCAACCCCAACACAGGATCCCAGATTCGGTTAGCTTGGCCTGCCTTTCTGAGTTCTGATTATTACAAGTATTCCTTTTTATTTTATTTTATTAACTATAAGGAGAAAAACCCCATGATTTTATAAATAAGAGGTCTGGCAGTCCAGTCCCCACCTGGTGGAAATGGTGAACTTTGAATCACTTGTCATCATTAATCTAATGTGTATGTCCTTTAGCACAAAGCAGTTAAGTATGTCCTCTGGCTTACACATTATTCTTACAAAAATTAGCATCAGTTCACC